TGATAGGAAAATATTACAAGATGCAATCTTGGTAGAATCTATATAAAATACTTCTTTTTGTGATCTTCTAAATCCAGCAAGAAAAACAGTCACACGCGACTTACTTGTTAATTTGGACACGCTGGTTCCGAATTTGACATTATTTTTACGATAAGACATAGTTTTAAATGTTTATATAAAAATCTTTCTAGCGTGCCGCGGGTGTATCGAGACCATCACCGATACCATCACAACGAGGTATTCACTTAAGCCAGTCGCTGTTCCCAGGACAATTTTTTCCTGTTTTAAAAAATAGAGTCGCTGTTCCCCGGTGCTCCGATTTGAAAAAACAGTTTGAACAGCTGTCCTCAGTCCCCCGATGTGAGCCGCATAAGGCCTGACACTGTCAACACATGCTGACCAACGTGTCTGAGACATACTGCGCAGAGAGCTGGGAATGTTTTGCTTAAAAATTTCCCACCTTTGTGGACTGGAGCTAAAACTAAAAATGTTATACAACTTCTGTATAACTCCAAATAAAGTTATGACTGTTGAACAGCTTTCTGCAGAATGCACGCCACACAAATTCAAGCTATGATAGTCACAGTGAGAGTATGTGGCAAGTGAGAACTGTCCTAAAACGTGAGCCTGTGCACCATTAGACCACACATAATATGTTGCTACCGTTGTCGTAGCATTGGCCTCGGCAGTCTGTAATTAGTGTAATTGGAATGGGTTTTTTTTTCCATTCAGTGTATCAAGGATAATTTTAGCTGTTTTCTCCTGATTTCTTGTTACAATCTACACTTTTCAGAAATCTCTCTTCTACTTTGTAGACATTTGTATCACTGTCCAAGTGAAGATAATGCATAATAAAAACAGTTTATTCGGCGTGTGAAGAGTCTGCTGTTTCATCAACGATATAATGGAGTAATATTTCGTTTCCGCTCTTTCATTCAAAATCATGTCTATCACTTTTGATGCACTACATTGGATGAATTCATTTTAACTTTCTGGTAATAGATAGTGAACTTGTAGGCGCCTTTTTTCTTTTTGTGATTTTTCAACTTTTATAAGATGCCCTGCAAAGTTCTGTGAAGTTGTGAGATACAGCTCAACTTGCAGCCAAAATATATTTTATTTCAAAGTTTTGTACGGTACTCTCTCTCTCTCTCTCTCTCTCTCTCTCTCTCTCTCTCTCTCTCTCTCTCTCTCTCTCCCTCTCTCTCTTCTCTCTCTCTTTTCTCTTTCTCTCTCTCTCTCTCTCTCTCTCTCTCTCTCTCTCTCTTTTCCTGGGGTTGGGGCCCCTCCCCCCCCCAACCCCCGGGCCTCGGGGCATTGGCCACCTCTGACACCCCCCCCCCCCCCTTCTAGACAGGCCTGACTGTATCTAGTGCCTTGTGTAATCTATGGTGTTTAACAAACACAGTCTCGACGTCGATGACGATGAATGTCCTGGCACAGCCTAGTCGAAATGCCTCGAGGAGCGTGTCGATGACTGGATTAAAAAAGAAATATTGAGTAAGACTAATAATTACTATCTTTCTCGGGTAAAAATTATGATGAAACATTAAATGTATTTCGGTTTTTGATAAACACAGACCCAAACTTCATCCCCCCCAAAAAAACAAAACAAAAAAACCCCAACAACAACCAAACCAACAACAACAAACAAACAATTTAACCTCCTTCCTTAGGCCAAACTGAAAAAATCCGTCACGTGATCGGTGGGAAAATGCCGTTTTTTCTATGTTCTAAAACTTTGGTGCAGTGATCGCTATAAAAATTGAAACACTAAAAATTGTTTTATGTATCCCCCCCCCCCCCCAACAAAACCCCTAATTATTATATTTATAAGATGACCTTTACATTTTAGAGTACATTAATATTATTCACGTTAAAGAAAAACCCCCATAGAGACTCAAAAGATTAGAAAAAAAAAACTTAAAATAATCACCAACCGTATATAATATAATTTAGAAGCATACTGAGGCCTTTTGAACTTATTTCTTCCATAGGCCTATTCTTTTTCTTGTAGACATGGTTTTCAATGTTTATTTGTGTGCTGTTCATGGACATCCAGCAGAAGACAACGTCATGATTTGTAAATTAGGATGATGCATTAATTGAGGCGATGTGAAAATATTGACCTCGGGATTCATGCAAAACAATGCTTCGAAACGTAAACTTGTATCAGAAATATTATTAATACACGCAATAAGCTAGCCTTCAAGTCTGGGCCTACATTTCGGAATTAGGCTACAGACATAATGAGATTGTTTTGCGACACAAAAAAAAAAATATGAGCCTAAATAAATATCTGCACTGGCTCATTGAGATGCGACTATTTTGCCCAGATTGGTCTCAATGTCTGCTCAATCAACAAAAATATTTTTTATTTTTTCCCCCTTAAAATTATGAACTGTTAGGCTAGGCTAACTGAATAGATCCCTATTGTGTCTTTGCTCATTGATGTTTGAAAAGTATTAATCCTTTACTACAGCTATTTTCCTCGTGGTAATTAAATTTGAGTGATTGTTTTCTTATTGTTTTTTTTTGGAGGGGGGTGGGGGTTGTTCATTTGAAATCTTCAATTGGATCTAATAGCTAATGAAACGTCATTTCATTTCTGAAAACAATGAAGGATTCACCAGTCAGAGTGTTGTTCGTAAATGTAACGTTTGCATAGGCTAAATAAGACCTCTTTGCATAGGCGGGGCCTCATTAGGCCTATGTGTTGATGGCAGTAATTTTCCATTCACTGATGATCGAACCCTTTGAAAAATCTGGGGTTGTGAAGACCGCGCGTCAAACCAAACGTTGTCCAGTCCGAGCGATTGTCTGTTTTGGAAATTTGTTGAAGATAAATATCGAGTGCCTCGATGTTTTTATCGTTTTGCAATTTTGGCTGTGTTTGGGAATGAAGACGACATTTCTGTCCAAGACAAATTTATTCTTCTCCTTTAACTTTCAGGTGATGTATGAGAAATTAACTTTTTAAAATTGAATCTAGCCTGTAACATGCAACACGCATGACATGATGATCGTGATGAATTTAGGCCCTACTGCCTACTGTGTACTGTTGTCATGTTAGCCTAGTCTAGTCAAGGCAAGATCTAGATCTAGTTTTGTTTAGTGATTACAGTTACCATGCCATTCACTTCACTAATTAGCCTACTTTATCGGCGCTTTTTCGGTAGTTCCCACCCCGCAATTGTTATTCACGGGTTTTGGCCCCAAGAGTAGGGGGGTTTCAGGGGGGCTTGCCCCCCTGACCTTTATCTTTATCTAACAAAAATAGGAAGGGGGGTTTCAGGGGGGCATGCCCCCCTGAATTTTACCACAATTTAATGTTTTGCTGTTGTTAGCTTAGCTCACCGCGAATCAAACGTATAGATCTAGAAATCTAGATCTAGAGTCTAGAATAAGTAGATTTAGGTCAGGCTCAAATAGGGGGGTGGGAACTACAGAAAAAGCACCACTTTATCGAGGTTTCCGTTCTCGAGATTTATTTTGTCGGTTTTCCATTTGATTTGCGAATGGAGTGACCTTTGTGTGCGGTGTGTGTATGTGTTTTATGTCATTATGAGTTGCCAGTCCCGAAAGAGTTTTTTGTTGAGACAAGTGAATTGGAGAGAAAGATTGCTTGTGAAACTACCCAAGACCAAGAAAGGAGACCTGAGGAATCATGCTCCTGTCCATTCCTGGGCCTGGGAAGATTTTAATTTTAAGTCGTATTATTGTTGGAAAGACTGAGGAAGCCGGCGGTGGATGTAAAACTAAGAGAGGAGCAGGTAGGATTTCGTTAAAAGAGATCATGTAGATCTACAGATCAGATTGCAACTTTGAGGATAATAATGGACGAAGTGGCTAGCCGTAAGTACGGCTAGACTGCCAGTCTAGCCGTACTAACTTAGATCTAGGTTTGGCCCAATCGACTCAAGCCTATTCAGTACACAGGTCTCATTAGATCTAGATCTCTAGTAATTATTCAGGTTCAAATACATGCAAGTCAGTAAGGCACCTTTTGGTTTTGTCTGAAATACAAATACTTTAGACATTGCAAACTAAAAATTTCATTTACAATTCAGCCATCAATATTAAGTACGGCTAGCCTGACAGTCTAGCCGTCCTTAAGTACGGCTAGCCTGGCTGTCTACCTGTACTTAAGTACGGCTAGACAAGAAGTCTAGCCGTACTTATCTTAGGCCCTATCTATTAACATTAGAAAACAGGAGGTTTAAAATATGCACTGTCATTAAGGCACCTGGTTTCGTCTCAAATACAAATACTTTAGGTACTGCACACTAAAAATGTATATTTACAATTCAGTAGGCCTATTTTTTGTAAATGGTCAGTCTAGCCATCATATTAATTGAATAGTACGGCTAGACTGCCAGTCTAGCCGTCATTAAGTACGGCTAGCCTCTTCCAATAATGGATCAGTCCACAGAGTGGAACTCTTCCCTGTATGTTAACTTTGTTGACTGCGAGAAAGCTTTTGACAGCCTAGATACGGACTCAATATCTAGATCTAGAATCTAGATCTAGAAGCTCATTCGCCACTACGGAATACCTGATAAGTTCGTGAGATTGATCAAGAAGATGTGTATTCATATGAGGGAATGGGCTGCAGTCAGCAGTGTCTTACTTGGAAGGCAGTGGATAGACTCGATTGAAGTGAGAACAGGAGTGAGCAAGACAGGGATGTCTGCTATCGCCTTTTCTCTTTTTTATTAGCAGTAGATTGGATGATGAGACAAGACAACATCGGGACAATGCGGTGGCATTCAGTGGACCGTTTCCTGTCAGTTGGAAGACGTGGACTTTGCCGACGACTTAGCACTTCTTTCTTACAGTCGAGCCCAGATGCAACAGAAGACAGATTGCCTCAGGACCTTCTTCCGTAGTGTTGGACTCCATATTCACACGGATAAAACGAAAGTTCTTCGAATGAATGCATCTGACTTTCCTATCACACATCAAGGGACACCATTGGCAGAGATGTTGAATCCTTCAACTACCTGGGAAGTGTCATCAACAAAGAAGGGGGAACAGATGAAGACGTCAAGGTCAGAATCCAAAAGGCAAGAGCAGCATTCATCATCCTCAGAAATATATGGATGTCTAAGGAACTGGGATTGAATACCAAGCTGAGGATCTTCAAAACAAACGTGAAGACTGTTCTACTGTATGGTTCAGACATGGAGGCTCACAGCATCAGCAGCAAGGAAACTGCAGAGCTTCATAAATGGATGTCTAAGAAGGATAGTGGGGATCAAGTAGTTAAGTAGTACAATTGAGTCACAAATGCTCAACTGTGGGAAAGAACAAGCCAAAGGCCAATAAAGGAAGACATACAGGTGTGGAAATGGATTGGGCATGCCCTGAGGAGACCCCTGACAAGCATCATCAAGAAGGCTTTGACGTAGAATCCATGGAAAACGTAAGAAGGGAAGACCAAAGATGACATGGAGGCGAGCGGTACATGCGGAAATGGAAAAGGCGGGGACATTGATCGTGGACACAGCTAGAAAAGGATGCACAGGACAGGCTTTGTTGGAGAAATGTTGTTGATGGCCTATTATGCTCCACTGGGAATTAAAAAGGGTAGGAGAGAGAGAGAGATTGCAGCTGCAAATGCCGTTTTCCCTTTAATGAAGGAAGAGGCTAGCCATACTTAATAACGGCGAGACTGGCAGTCTAGCCGTACTTAAGTACGGCTAGACTGGTTGGCTAGCCGTACTTAAGCTGGGCTAGCGTTACTTATTCTTAATATGATGGGTAGACTGACCATTAAAAAAATAGGCCTACTAAATTGTAAATGTAAATTTTTTGTTTGCAGTACCTAAAGTACTTGTATTAGAGACAAAACCAGGTGCCTTAAAATGACAGTGCATGTATTATAAACCTCCTGTTTTCTAATGTTAATAGGGCCTAAGATAAGTACGGCTAGACTTCCAGGCTAGCCGTACTTAATATTGATGGCTGAATTGTAAATGAAATTTTTAGTTTGCAATGCCTAAAGTATTTGTATTTCAGACAAAACCAAGAGGTGCCTTACGTACTTGCATGTATTTGAACCTGAATAATTACTAGATCTAGATCTAATGAGACCTGTGTACTTAACAGGTTTGAGTCGATAGGGCCAAACCTAGATCTAAGTAAGGCTAGACTGGCAATTTTCCGTTTTCTTAACATTTTCCCTTTAATGAAAGATCAGTTTTTACATATGTTTAATGATCTACATATAACGTAAAAAGATAATCTCCCAGTAAGGCGAATTTCCCCGATATGGTGGCAAAGTTCCCTGTCACCACATCCACTTGAAAAAGAACGAAGCAGGTGAAGTATGATAAGCAAGCAAACCAATCAGTAGACTATCTGCCTTTTCATTGGCTTCGAAAAGTTGCAGATGAAACAGGGGTCATGTACGTTGAGCATAAAGGGGGTGTAGGCTTGTTTCGTCACGAGCTGAAAGTGGCGTAGTTACCCGACTCTACTCTATTGATGAAATATTGGTAATTTTTCTGTAGTTCTCAACACACACAAACACACACCTTTTTATTCACCTATTTTCCTGTTTCGAGAATATAATTTAGTCAGTTATAAGTCAGATGCATATTCATTCGAAGAACTTTCGTTTTATCCGTGTGAATATGGATCTGATATCGGCTAAGATCGAATATTTGAAGAGATTTCGACTTAGGAATCTCCTTTATTACTGTTTTACCCTTTACCTTACTTTGGATTGTGGCTACAAGACAGTTTAAAAAATGATCTAAACTGAAAAGGTATGGGAAGTAGTTCATCAAGCTGCCTAATGAAAGAAATATTATTGACTGGGATAGAGATTTGCCCATTGGTGGTGAGTATGCAAACTATCTGTCAGTTGTATCAGCAATTTACTGCTGCACTATCAAGTCCACTGATGTGTTTGTGAAGAGCTTTTTGTCATTTTTTTTTTTTCCTTTACAGGTTACTGTCCCTCTTAGAAGTTTTTCTTCATTTACCAGCTATGACATCACACAGAAGAAGATCTGTCACAATGCGTAAGACTGGAGCTGGAGAGCGTGGGGCTACCACCACTACAGAACGTAAAAGTAAGATTTTATATGTTTTACTTTTGTGAGGATTCAATGATAACAATAATGCAGATATTTCCATGGGGGCTCTTGTTGTCGAGAGGTTACGGTGTTTGCCTCATTCAATAGGTTTGAATCTGGAAAACGACGGAAAATTTGCTTCTCCAAAATTTTCTTCTTTCATCTCCTTTCCTACTCTCTAACAATGAATGTTTTGTTGTCTGTTTTCGTCTCCATTTTGTGCCCCCACCCACTCATGTCCTATTCCCCATCCTGTAGGTTCCTGCAGCCTTTCTAATACTACACCCTGGCTCCTTCTTACTACTGTCTTTCAGCCACACCCCTGATCTTATGGTTGGTAAGATCTAACACCTAGTCTTCTTGGATGAGGACAAAAATCTTGGAGGTCCCCGTGTGCGAGTTGCGCACGATAAAGATCCCTTGGTGGTCCAAAATCGATAAGAGTAGGCTTCGACAGCCACTCAGACAAAATTCAAAATTTCCAACCATTTGAAAATGTTTAATGTGTCCCGCATGCTCATGTGCAGTTGCGAGCGCCGTGTAAGACTTACCCCTCCAAAAATTTTTTTTCTATGGTGCCCACTCCCGTACAGTGCACCTTTACAATACCTACATTTTAACAAAAGCAGTACCTTCAGTAGTTTTTCTAACAAAATACAAGTGAATGAACACGTAATACGTCATGTAATACACAACACAAAAGCAGGCATTTATACTCACAATACTGTCGTTGACAATCTGCGCATCACATTATCAACATAAGATTACTTCAATAAGGAGGACTAATAATCAAGATGGCATTTCATAAAGTATCTTTTTAATTTTTTATTTCAAGTGAACAAAAAATTGTTATTCTGACTTTGTATCCCTCAAACATTTGAGTATATTTTCCGCATTGTTCATGTACTGTCAAATGACTGGTGTGCTATGAGTAAATAATAATGTTTTTTTTCTCTCCTAAAATATCATTTCAGAAGCAAATCTCAGGCGTAGGATCAGTGTAGATACATTCAAAGCATCGCATTTACCTCTTTCGGATAAGAGAATTTATATTGATACCAAAAATGGAAAGCAGTTTGAGCTGATGGAGGGGCAGATGAAAAAACTTGGCGCGGTAAGTATTATTTCTCACTGAACTGTTGATATTCATAAAGTTTGTAAAGATTATGGTAAAAGTCTACTTGAGCCCTTTGTTCTTAACTAGATTAACCTACTATGCACATCTGGGGTCTACATTCTTGGTGGAGCCATGTAATGGGGTACTGACATCACACGTGAAAGATGCTTTTAACTTGTTTTAAGAATGGGGGCTTAAAAGTAGATTTTACTAGGATTGTTTTTATACAGCTTCTAATCACAGAACTAAATTTCCTTTAATACTGCAAGTGCGAATGTTGCACATGAAAAACAACCCAGTTCAGACACTGATGTGAATGGATTAAGATTTATTGGTCTCAGACTGAAAAATGAAAAAAAACCTATGTAAAGTATGTACCCTTTTGTAAATTATAAAGTGCCCTTGTTTCTTGATTTATGTTGTCTTGTACTCATACTCATGTATAGACCATAGTTGCTTTTATGTCTGATCAGTTATGTTCTAGAAACTTTGAGATTAACTGATAAAAGCAAACTTTCTTGTGTACTTTTTCGTAATGATTGAAATGCATAGAACTCATTTTGGAAGTAGAGATCATTGGATAAAAAATTATTATGGATAGAAATTGTGGTTTTTCTAGAATTGTTCTATGTAGAACTGCATGTTTCTTCTTTGCTAGTCATTTATGCATAGCTGAAATGTCATCCAGTTGTGCTTGTCTGTGTTTTCAGAGAATTGAAAAGTTTTTGAGCCGGGAAGTGCACTATGTCATTTCATCATGTGTGCCTGCTAAATTAGATGACTGCCATAATGGGCCAGCTGACGACAACCCTCAGAGTCCATCTTTAGCCAACGTGCCCAGTCCATTTAATTGTGGCCCTTCACCCACAGGGGTTGGAGAGTCCAAAAAAAGTGTGGTAAGTTTTGTGTGCTTCTGTAAAGTCTGCAAACGCTTTTTATTTGGATGGTTCTCCAATAAGTGAATAAAGATTTTTTTTTAATTACCTGACACTTTCACACAGGGGAAAAAAATTAAAGACTAAAAGTGTCGGTTGAAACTGAATCGAAAGGCTCAAGGTGGAGGATATGCAATTTAGAAAGGTCATATTACAGGGTTCCCACTCAAACGTGAAAAGGCAGGAATTTAATTTTCAGATTTCCTGGTCAGGGAAGACTCCATGAGAATGAATTAAAATGAAAATAACGGGAGAAAGCTGCGAAATTAAAGGGTTGCCGACATTCATGAATTTGTTGGAATCATTTAGGTTTTTAAACTTAAAAAAACAACAACCTTTTTAACTGATGAAAATATGATTTTAACACCCCAGCCCTTATTCCGATTTATAAAAAAAATGATCTGCCATTCAGCTTACCCAACCGATCCCCAATTTCCGGGTGTATAAGTTGGGGAAAATCAGATACCGACAGTCTACGTCACTGCTAAATGTTGAGTTAACCTTAGCCCCCTCTGTGCACAGAGCTCTTGTAGTCACTCAGAAAAACACTGCCCTTTGAAAAGCATTAGCTGGGAGAAGGGTCAAAATTAGTTTGCGACAAGTGTTAAAAAATTCTTGCGCCTAAGTGTAATAATATTTAACATTTATATAGCACATTTCCAAAAAAATGTAGCTCAATGCGCTTTACATTGGAATACCCATTTAAAAAAAAAAAAAGCGCCTAAGTGTACTGGGTGATAGCCTAGGCAAATGAGAAAAATGAAAAAAAATACCAGATGCGTGGAATTTTGTGTAGTGATGTACAATTAATAATTAAGATCAAAGGCTTGTGACTCATCCTGTCGGTTTCTTTTTTTTTTTTTTCGTAAGTGTCAAGCAAACAGCCAATAAAGTACTCCCCTCCTTTTTTGTTTACATTACATTTATCCTATAACCCCTTTCCTTGACACTGACATCTCAGGGACAGGGATTGTCCATGGCTGTTGTGCTCTTTTTACCTAGAAATAATTTTGAAAATGGTTGCAAAGTTCAGGAGGAAACAGAGAAATTTTTTCCCCCCTGATGAGTGGAAACCCTGATATTAACATTGAGGATCAGTGAAGACAGCTGCTCAATATGGAGACATTAAAGGAAGTAAAAAATAATTTTACAGTGATGACATACATTGTGTATTTAGAGGTGAGGATTTACTCGTCTCACATATATATTTAGGGTTTAAGGGGAGGGAACAGCATCATGGAACTTATAAAATTGAAAGGAGTATATGGGGTATCATCATCGTTACATGGGAATTTTTTTTTTTTTTTTGGGGGGGGGGGGTTTCCTTTCTTTTTTCTTCCCCCCGATACCTGATGACAAAGATTCCATCGTTAAAACACATTTTTCTGTGAAAGATCTTTTTGTTCTAGTATGGATTTGGTTTTCTCTTGTTTGTCTGGCCCTCACCCCACCCTCTCCTCTCTCTCCCCCCCCCCCTTCTCTCTCTCTCTCTCTCTCTCTCTCTCTCTCTCTCTTTCTCTCTCTCTCTCTCTCTCTCTTTCTCTCCCCCTCTCCCTCTCCCTTTCCACCCATTAACAGTGTTGTGTGGTGTGGCATTCTGATCAAAGATGAAGTGTTTTTCTGTTAAAGCAAGGGATGTCGTTTTTCTATATTGGTGCTGCAATCGTTCTTCTACCCATCCTGTCTTTCTCTTATCCTTCCACTACTCTTCTGTTTCCAACCATGTTTCTTAGCTTGTCCCTTTACTTTTATGCTTGTAATACTTTTTAGAATTCTCAGACTTTTTTTAACATGAAAAGAGAAGAAAATGGAAATTGATGTGTATGTATAATCCACTGTAAATACCGTTTGAACTTATTTCCCTGTTTTCTGACTGACTATCTTTGACATGCCAAGTATTAGATAATACTTCTCATAACTATATCGCTTTGAAACTTACAGCTTTACTTTCTATTTACTTTCAGGTGTCTCGAGGGAAGGCTCTTGCTCAGATAGCTTGCTCCAAGTCCCTCGTGAGTAATCTTTTAGACTATAAATAAGGCTGAGGTTCTTTAATGTTGTAAATACACATGTATTCTTTGTATGTAATAATTGTATTTCTAGTGATGGAGATGTTACGTCCTGTGCTCAGTTTAACTTGCAATTGAAGGTGCAATCAGCAATCAGTCATTTGTATACTTCCTCATAATTTTTTTTTCAAAGCTGGTCATTATGTCTGTTAGTTAATGCTCATGGGATTGTCATGCTTTATTTAGCAATGCCAATCGGCCGCGCGGCGAAAATTTGGTCCCCGTTTGCGGGCGATTTTGCGGACCCGGCCGAAGCGTAGGTGACTTAACTTTGTCAACCTCTGTCTACTCTATTTCCGAACCAATCCGAATGAAATTCGGCAACCAATCAGGAAATAGGGCAAACTAATGATATGTGGACATTGAAGTTCGTACACATAAATTAACCTATATTTTTGGTGTCGGGAACACTTTCGTATTGTGTACACCGAAAACTATAAGAAGTTTGAATTTCAACGCCGAGATGGTAATAGATCTATCTATCCTCTATAGTGTGCTCAAATTTGAACGTTCTGTGTCAAGTAGTTGTTTAGACCCGATCATAAATGCACGACTACCCCCCCCCCCCCCCCCTATCCAAAACGGCTTCGCACGGAGACCGGCCATTTTCCCCTCACTCTCGCGGCAAATGTATGTGACCTACAAATATCCGCATGATTATTCCGCGCCCGTTCAATGGTCACTTGAAATAGGGCAATGGCGGGCGTGCGCATTCGTTTTTTTTCTCTCTATTCCCCTGTAACATCGCAATGGGGATATTCCGAGGCGAGGTTATCTCGTCTCGGGGTGTTCGCGTCTCAACGGGGAAAAAGAATTTTTAACTGTACGGCATGCTAGATTGAATTAACTTATCTTTTACGGTTGGCATGGTCTAAAGTAATCATAAAAAGCTTTGCAATTATTTAGTCACGCTGCCGACATATATTCTTAAAGATCCCATGTTGTGATACGATGCTATAAATAAAATGGACTCATCCCGATACCCCTTTTTCGCAAAATCGTAATATGTAAACCAAAATTTTAATTATAACAAAATAACTACGAAATGGGTAGTAAATCTGAATGCTTTAAAACATGTGCATTATGTGAATGTATATTCAGTCCCCTGTTATTATCAATCCTGATCAATGTATATTCAAATAGTGGTTTTCTGAATTTTTCAGATTAGCACTACAGTTGCCAGTGCTGAAAAATTGGGCATCAAAATTGTTTCCTTTGATGGTAAGCATATTTTTTTTTGGTTGTTGTGTATTGGTTTAGTTGAATGTCAATTGATTTTTGTGAAATTGTCAATTGAACTGCATCGTAGCAAAAGTTGTGCTTTCTGATAGATTTGTTTCTTTTTCATGTAAAAGTCAATTAATTTTAAATTGTATCATGTTCAGATAATATTAATAGGATCTTCCATTAATTGATCTTTTGAGATTTCAGTTCTAATATGTTTATGGCCTTTGGCAAGTTAAACCGATTTAATGTCAATGAAGAGATGGCTGCCTGCTAGGAGGACAGAAATTCAAGTGTTTTCTGAAAAAGAGTTCAAGTTGAATTTAGACAAATATGTGAAATGAAGACAACACGCCTCATCCCTCCCCTTTCCCACCTCGAAACCTACTTTTAGTTTCTACAAACATAGGTGAAGTGCAGCGTAAATAAACTCTTGATTATGATGGAGGGTTGAGATTTTGATCTAAAAAAGTGTTTTTGACATCGAACATATTTAACATTGTCATTTCAGCTGCGAACAAATGGCTTGACAGAGAGCTAAAAAAGTTGGAGGATGACAATTCTTCAAAGTGTAAGACTGAGGTAAGTCTTTTGACTAATTTTAGGAGAGCCACTGAAATTTTCACCCCTTACCAATGTTTGGGCTGTTCTGCAGATTCGTATCTTTTAATAATACACTTCTTCAAACGAAAATTTGTTTTGTTGATATATAGTTTTAAAAACTGTCAACTTATCTTGTGTGCATGATGTTTGTGCTGTTATCGAAAGAAGTTTTTAAATTAGGACAGTTCGAACGAAGCTGTTTTATGTTCTGAAATAAGATGAGAGAACCCATGAGACTTAATGTCTTTCAATATTTTTAGTCATATATGACTCAGTGCTTCCGCTCTTCTGTATTTTTAAGGAAATCCGTACTTTGTGCCAGTTCCGTACTTGTTCTTCCATCATTATCAACCCCCTCCGCAAAAAAAAGCGACAGTGTAGGACAACCAAAATTCCGTAGCAAAAGATCCGTACTCGACTTCGTGCCGTCTTGTATAAGTTGCGGATATTTATGGTAATTCTCTCTGCAATGAGTTAGTGTTATTGAGACCTGCCAGATTGCACATTTCCTGCAATCAGCCATTATTCCGCTATGCCCCATGCATTCATTGCGGGTTGGTAGGCAGTACATTTTTACCTGCAGATTGATCAAAATCTGAACTTTTTGTGCCAATTTCCTCCTTTCTATCATCCACTCATTCCGTCTGTCTATCTTCGGACTGTTGCTGCGGCTGGAAAATATGCGCATTGATCAGATCAAGTAAATTGACTTGTGATCTTAGACAGAAAATTACTGTCAGAGAGAAACTTGCTTACAAATTTATTGTCTAGATCTAGAAAAATTAACAATGTGAAGATTCTACGGCACAAGAACGTGATTAGGGCCGCAATGAAAGAAATCTATGCTAAAACTACTAAAATCAAGAATAATTCGAAGTGATGTTCCGAGGTTGTGACATGCAACATTCAGAAATTTGTGGAAAATTAGGGTATACCCTGGGTAACTATTGTGAAGTTACATATCTATTCTTTATTCCCAGGTTTGCCTTTAAACAATGGTGCCATGACAAATTAATTGAATTATAGTAGCAATGGAAGGGATACCTGCTTTTAAACATTGCCAGCAATGGAAAGATATATATATATATTTAGGTGAAGAAATCAAACAAAACAAAACGTTGGCGAACTAATAAATGTTCTGCGTTGTGTAGGCAATCTCCTCAAACAGGCTCCCAAATGCCATTTTTAACTCTATAAAAGCACTAAATTTCAATTTCTTTGGGGGCTTTGCCCCCTGAACCCCCACCGGGGCGCTGTCCCAGGACCCTGCGGACCCCAGACCCCAGACAGAATTTTCCTCACTTTTCAGCTTCAGCTGGTGGAAACACTGATGATTATTGAGTGCTTAGCTAGTGTTTGCTCTATGGTAGTCTCTTCAAACTTTTATGTATTTGCCATGCTATCTGTTACAAAAATTCTAAGTTTTGAATCATTCCTGGCTGTTGGAAAAGCACAACTTTCGTCCACTTTTACAAACTATAAAAAGTAATAATGATTTTGAGAGATTGCTAGTGAAGTAGATGAAATAAAAGTTATAGGGATAGGAGGTTTTCTACTGCTTTTCCGAGGTAACAATTTTTCTCTCTCTCATTTGCATGCACAAAAAATTCTATCCACCTAAGAACCTGGTTTAAGCCAAGGACAGTAAACTATCTTGAGCAACTTTACCTAAATGTTTGCTAGTTCAAATAGGTCCTCTTCAAAGTAGGACCAATAATATGTGAACGATAATGTACGAAGTTCAATAAAACATACTTTTGGGTTGTGGGTGAAGGAAGAACTGGGCATTCTATCTCCCTTCAGTTGTTTCAAACTACACTGCTGACTTTCAGGCACATGAGCTCCTTAAATGATATACTCAACCAAAAGAAGCAATGCGGTACCCTGACTGTGTACACTAGATCATTTTTAATGAGAGACAAATGAGTGTAATTTGAATTTCATATGATCAAAGCATCTGATTGTCTATTTTGTCAAAGCTGGTCCCTTTGCAATCATTCTTTCCCTTCAATTATGCCGCCTCGTGACTGGTGTTGTTTCATGGTTTCTATATGCTATCAGATCATAGTGACAATGCCTCGGGGTAGAAATTAACTTGGAAGCCTGTGGTTCTCACTTGCGCCAAATCAATGGACACCATTCAGAAATACGCACACACTTTAGTCTCCCGGTAATCAGGTTCTTCTCTCCTTTTACTCTGCAGAATAAAGGCAAAGGCAAGAAAAAAACAGAACGTGGAAGAAAATGTGAGTGTATTGCTGTTGTCACTGTCACTGCCTTCAGTCTGTAAATGGCTGTATTTAAAATAATGACCCTGTTCCAGTACTTTCCATGGCCTCTGTACTGCTCGGAGCCTAATGTCCTATACAGTGCTATGTTAATGACCTAATTTTCAGATATTTGAAACATGCATTAGCAAAACATAGGCAAGACTTTTATTTTGTATGTTACATTGTATAGCTGATTTTGAAGTAAAAAGGACAAATCAAATAGTCCTAGCCTGTTTCTTTAAATATGAAACTTTTTGCAGTTTTGCTGTTAAGGTTTATATGTGTTTTTACAAAATGCTCTGATCAGCTGTATCCATTATTTCTATGTTCCCATTATGAGACAAATCACTGTATGATGCTAGAATTGGAAAGTGTCTAATTTATGAAAGTTCAAATTCTATGTTGTCATTGATGGTGCATATGTTATTTACTTCCTTCCTATTTCCAATGGTTTTTGTAATTTGACTTACAATTTCTGTTCTCTTTCAACAGTCAAAACACTTAAAGGACCTTTCATCAAATTTGAGGCTTTCAATCAACAGTACAGACCCATTAAGTCGGAACTCACTGCGTGGCCCAAGTTAAATTTAGCAGCCCCTCCGGGTATATGCCCCTTTGGTGGAGGCAGGTTAGCCATACAGCACCAGTTTGGACCTAGGAAGACAATTCCAAAGTCAAATAAGCCGGCCCAAAAGGTAGCACCAGAGGTTTGCGTAGAGCCACTTAAACCCCAAGACGAAAATAAAAATGGGTAAGTTTTTTTTTAAAGGACGTTTTGCTTTATTAATTTTTTTTTTAGCTCATTCTATGAAATTCCTTTGTCTGGATCATACCTAATTCAGCCTCCTGTGTCATTTTTTTGTAAAGTCTGCCAAGGTAACTTTACTAAGAGCATGTCTATTATGTGTTTGCATTTATGTCATCTTAGTTATGTCCGGAAAAAAAAAGAAAGAAAAACTTTCCTTTTTCATATCTTAATTGTGGCATGACATGGTGGAATCACGCGCTCGTCAAGTTTTGAGCATATTAAAGTATTTCTATCATCTAATAGCCTGTCCTTTTATCTTGCTTTTGACGAAAAAAATATTCATCTATCTTGAATAGACGTGGAGATACTTGGTATTGCTGCTGGTGGGGTCCCCTGGTTTCAGACGTAAAATTAACGAAAAAATGGCTGCCATAGCTAGAGTCCTTGGAAGCTGAAAATTTACACTTTTTGTGTCTTTGATCAACTTTTCCCCTGTAAAATCCACCCAGAGATGTGTTTTGAAGTGGACCTAAAAGGCGTTGAACCATTTTTTAAAAATCGGGGGGGAAAATCCCAAACCTGTGGGAAAATGCTGATTTCTTTGGTTTATTTATTTTGACGAGCGCCTGATCTCACCACGATGCCTCACAATTTCTTTTATGAAAATTTGGGCAAACAACGATTCAGAAGATTCAGTTTGACTCACAATGCATGTTGTTAATGATTTTTTAAAATGCCACTTTATTCACATTTTACTATGAATTTTTGCGAAATATTTAATATCTTTCGAACATAACCATGGTGACACAAAATGAAAAATACAGAATATAAAATTATTTTAATGGTTTTCTCATTGCTTTAATTTTCTAACATAAGCATAAAGAGCTTATAAAATCGCAGAAGAAAGAAATTCTGAATGTCTTTGTGTTCGCATTTGTGTCATCATAGTTATGTCTGAAAGAAATGAAATACTTTCCATTTTCATATTTATTTTAATTCTTTTTTTGTGGAAATTTTGGTTAACAAAGATTCAGGAGATTCAGTTTGACTCATAATGCATGCAAATGGTGGAGAAAAAAATACCACTTAATTCACATTTTACTATGACTGCAAAATATCAAATATCTTTCGAACATAACCACGATGACACAACGTGGATAAACGTTTGTCGTCATTTTGGAACATATCATCAATTTACATCAAATTCTCCCCTCTCGTTGACGTCTTGCCAAGCATTCGTGTTGCATCTAGATCTACCAGTACTTGACAATTGGAACGTCGTGCGATGTTAATCACTACTTAGTTTAATTTTCGAACATATGCACATTTTAAGATTGGATGACGACATAAGAAAACTTTAATGGATTTGTCTCGTCAATCGTTATTCTTCTTGCCATCTTACATCGCACAATACTCTTTGAATGGATTGACAGCAACAATGCATGTTCCTCCACCCCTATTATTTCTTGTTTTCTGATTGGTTCTTTCGAACATAACAGCATGAGGCGTCGCCGGATTTCTGTTTTCTGGAAAATTATGTACGGTCACAGCCTCGGAATCTGTCAGGGCAGAGAATAAACTTTCAACGGTTTTATCCTTATTCCAAAGCCCCAAAATGGCTGACAGAAACAAAGTCACTGGGAGTCGAAGTTGCCTTGCGAAATGACTAAACGAGTTATGTTCGAAAATGAAATTCTAGAAGGCTCACAAAGAAAAAACAGCTACAGATTTCATTATTCCTGATATAGCACCACAAATAATGTAGTTACAGCAATAAAAGTGTAGAAGGACAAGTTTCTCAGCAGTTATTTTATTGTTGAACTTCTCCTCTTTCTTGTCCTTTTTAACTCCCAGTGGAGTACAGGCCATCAACAGCATTACTCCAGCGAAGCCTGTCCTGAGCATCCTTTTCTATCTGTTTCCCTGATGTCCCTGCTTTTTCAATTTCCGCTTGTACCGCTCGCCTCCATGTCATCTTTGGTCTACCCTTCTTACGTTTTCCTTGTGACCTCCACGTTAAAGCCTGCCTGATGATGCTTGTCTGGGGTTTCCTCAGGGTGTGTCCAGTCCATTTCCATTTTTGCACCTGTTTGTGTTCCTTTACTGGCCTTTCGCTTGTTCTTTCCCACAGTTGAGCTTTAGTGACTCGATCTACCACTTGATCCCCACTATCCTTCGTTGGCATCCATTTACGAAGCTCTGCAGTTTCCTTGCTGCTGATGCTGTGAGCCTCCTTGTCTCTGAACCATACAGTAGAACAGTTTTCACGTTTGTTTTGAAGATCCTCAGCTTAGTGTTCAATCCCAATTGTTGAATTTGACGACAGAAAAATTACGAAGACAACGCGTCACGTTTTGCATTCTAAAAATACATCGATTTCAGAACTAAAAATATTTGTAAGATTTCTTCTGATGGCCTGGCTGCTATTTCTATGCTCCCATGGCTGAAACATCATATTAACTCATTCGCTACGTATTATTTTCGGCTTGTGGACGGATTTTTTTCAGGAGGGCGAAATGAGATGATGACTAGTGCGCCGTTCACAGGTCTTGGGGGCCATACATTCAAATAAATATCAACATATTATATACCAACATTTTCAGTATGGTTTGTAGAATACATCTGTGTTGTTCATTTGTGCATTTTTTAACTTTGGTTCCTGTAAGAGGCGATTATGCAACACAATTGTGATTGGCTGCGGATAAAATTTGAAAACAAAAAATTTATAATCTCAAATGAAACTCAAAAAATATGTTTGCACCTAGTCAAATTATACATCAAAATAACCATAACTGTATATAGAACAGGAAAATATTGAAAAATGAGCAGTTATTTACATACATTCCATAATATTTGTACATTTGGATCATAACCTCCGATATTGAAACAAAATACATTTTAAAATAATTTTGAAAAATGGATCCCAAACAGAAAAAAACCTTGTATCTTATATGGAATTATTCAGAATTGCATTTGGAATAAACCTATACAAATACATGTCTTGGTAAATTCACCAAAAAGTAGTGATTTTGGGGAGAAAAAAAATATTTTGACTATTTAGATTTAGGCCTAGACCTAGCACTAAAAAAATATTCATTTTTCAATTACAGTGCACTGGCAATTTGAGTCCAGTAGTATCGATATTATAAAGAAGAGTCCTGCACTTCTTTAGTGAGCAAAATAATGATACATTTTGTTGTGTAAAAGTACTAAGACTGGTGTCTGGGCTATAATTTCGGCTTCGGGATAAAACAATGTCGCATAACATAAACTTCGAAATCGTGTTTCAGAACTGAATCAAACCTTCCGATTTTCGGTGGAAACGCTTGTCCCGGAAGTCAACTTTATATTATGACCTTTATTTTAACATGGATTTGTGGATTGGAATAGAAGCCAAGCTAAAATCGAACGTCGGTTCTCGAGCCGCCGGGGGCGGCTTAGCGTACTGACGGCACTTTAGCCGCGCCACCCCCCACGGCTCGGCGTAGCGAATGAGTTAAGCACAACATATACAATTTTCAAAGCTGTAGCACCATTTTCATTGGAATAGGAAAGGATTTTGTCAGGTTTATGAAGAAACCCCCACGTATTGGCAAAGGCTCATATATCTATGTAAAAAACAACAACTTTTCATTCTGTGCCATAAAATTTAGAGTCATTTTGTGGGCCAAAATTGCGACGTTTTCATCAAATTATCCCTGGGCTACCCCCTATATTGATTGTTATATCTCCACAGGGCTGGCGAGCCTGCAGCAGCTGATGTAGTAGCTGTGCCTGTTGTTACTACTGGTGATATCAAGCGTAATCTTGAACATCGCTTGAAAAAGAAAGCAACTAAACAAGGCTTCTGTGATTGCTGCAAAATGAAATTCCAGGATATGGATCAGGTATGTCTATGTACATTTTGGAATTTTAGCTCTCTGGGACCTGCTTTTTATTGTTTTTTTTTTTGTTTTTTTGAATGATGGAATATAGTATGCTGTATTCTGTCAAAAATAACGTTTGAACTATTTGTCAGCAGTGAGCACATATCATTGGTCACTTCCTTTTATTCGCTGCATACACGCAGTGTCCTCATTTGGCTTTCCACCGTTGTTAATAGATTAAGTAGATGTGTGCGCTATACAGTGCTGATAATTTTTCTTGGAAATATGCAATTTCAGAGATGATGGGAAAGGGTTTTCCTCCTTTTTCCTCTCTATTTCTAGTCTGCGAGGGGGCTCTCGTGGCCTAGAGGTTAAGGTGTTGGCCTCTCATTCAAAAGGTCCAGGGTTCGAATCCGGGTAGCGACCAAAAATTTTTCTTCTCTTAAATTGTCTCCTTTCACTTTCATTCCTGCTC